CCGCCTGCCCGTCGGGGGGTTCGCAGAGCTCATCGGTGTGTGTTCCTGGGCGCTCGGCTTGGGCGGGGGGTCCCGGGGAGGCGAGCGGGGGCAGTGGCTGTGCGTGGGGCCCGACAGGAGGGACCTGGCTGTCCAGATCTCTATCACAGACTTCAAGACAGCCCACAGCACGTAAGCAGTGAAGCAGCTGCGACGTCTGAGCACGGCGATTTAACCTGGTGGCGTGGCGTACCCAAATTCCTTAGCCGTGAACTGGGCTGCCACAGTTAACTTTGTCAGTCCAGCTTGTAATCTCATTTTGAATGAGATTTGATTTTTGATTTAATTTTGATTTTTGTGCGATGAAACCCCTTTTCCAGAAAACCACAGTGTGGCATTATTCTGCTCTCATCCTTTAATTTGCTACTTTTTGGGGCCTGTACCAGCCTTTCCCTTACTTTCCTGGAATCAGTGTCAAGCTAACCAGTTAATTTAGCCCACTCGCTTATTCTTGCTGGCATATTAGCTTTTTTCCAGCCCCCTGGAACCTCTCCAGCATTCACAATCTGTTGAAAAGCGACCTCAGTGACTCAGACTTCCTGAGCCAGGTCCTTTAAAACTCTTGGATGGACCCGCTCAGTCCTGCGGGTCTACGGATAAATATGTTTTAGCACTTGCTATTTAACCATCCTGCTTAGAAGCCACGCCGTTATCTCTCTATGCTGTGAATATGCTTTTCAGCTTTCTCCTTTCTTGTTTTTTGTACATCCTCTCTGCAAAGGTGTCAGAACAGGCAGTGCGTGCTGCTACGGATTTATGCCCCGATGTGTCTCTGGGATCATAACGGCGTGTGACGGTGTGACCTGCTGGCTAACAGCGTGTCGGAGGGTTTTCTTTTTCAGCTCCTGGTCATGTAATGAGATTTGCTGTGTTCATAATTAACAGGCAGCAACGGGCCCCAGAAATTCTGCATCGATAAAGTTGGCAAAGAGACGTGGCTGCCTCGGAGCCATACATGGTAAGTCATTTCTCCTTGGCCCCATTAGGAGCACATGGGGACAACCGCTGGCAGTCTCTGCGGGGCAGCATGGGGCCCCGAGCGCCTTCCGTCCCCTCTGCCCGAGTTCCCACAGGACGTAGCTGCTGTTCCTGGCCATGCATCTTACCGTAGCTGCTGTGCACGGCTGGGGCTGGAGGGGACCCTGCAGTGGGGAGGAGAACTGGGATTGCAGCGCTATTCACAGCCTCTGCTGTCTCTCCAGCTTTAACCGTCTGGATCTCCCTCCCTACAAGAGCTATGAACAGCTGAAGGAGAAGCTGCTTTATGCGATTGAGGAGACGGAAGGATTTGGACAGGAGTGATGGAGCTTTGGTGCTTTCCTGGGGCGGGGAGGGCCCTGGAGTGCTGCCGGCTGCGAGGTCCTGCCTGCCGGTGCCCATGGAGCCCAGCACCGAGCCCTCTCCGCGGGATGGTGCGCAGGCAGCTGCGGACGCTGTTGCTCTTGTTCCTGTGCGAGATCTGCACTAACGTAGCCCTGGGGGAAACGGGTCCGTGTTTCCCTCCCCAAACAAATTCGAGGCGTGACGGGGAGGTGGACACAAAAGCCTGGCTCCGCTCAGCTCGTGAGGGGCGTGGGCTGGTGCAGAGGGGATGGGGCAAAGCCCTGGGCCTTGGCAGGCAGCGTGCGGTGCACCGAAGCTCCCCGGTCCCCTCTTGCAGACAGAGTTAAATGAGATCTGGTTTCAGCACAGGCTATTTTTCCCCCTAGTGTTTTCTGCCTTCTCATGGCGTTTTAATACATGCAGGTGAGGAGGGGAAACGGCTCTTGAACCAACTCTCAGGTCACTTTTGGGCCCTATCCTACACCCAGCAAAGGTAACAGGGAACCCTCAGTCGATGCTGCTGGGGCTGATGCACCACGCGAGGGCCGAGGTGGCCCCTTCCCGCACCAGACCCGCGGCTGCCCAGACCCAGGTCCTGGCCGACCATCTCCATTGCGTGTTTTAATTTGCAAGCGTGTGGCCCCTGTGCTGTTGTATTTAATATTTAAATATTTAAGCATTTAAGTGCTCGGAGCTGGTGCTCTGCAGCAGCCTCGGGGGCTCCGGTCATGTTCGGGGCACATCTGGCCTTTGCTTGGGTCGTGGGTTTGGCGCAAACTCCCTGTTCTCTCTGTCGCCGGCCGGGCTGGTGGCAGGAGCTCCCAGAGCTGCGGGTGAGGGCAGGATCAGGCCTCTGCCCCTTGCCTGGATGCCACCTCCACTGCTGCCCCCCTGCAGCGTGCACCGGGGAGACAGACCCGTGCGAGCGTTGGTGTACATAGCTGTACATAAAAGAAGTCTATGGATACAAGACACTGCAATAGCTTTTGACTGGTAACTGGATAGTTTTGTACTGCACCATCCTGCCTCAGCGACGCCGACTTCTTGTGCAATAAATAAGCAGCTGCCGAGGTCTGTGTCCCTGGTTGGTGTGTCGCACGGGGGGGACAGCCCGGTGCAGCCTCTGGGGGGGGGTCTGTGCGGGGACTCGGCTGAAGGGCCGTGACAGGCGCCACGGCTTGTCAGCGGGGTCATAAATAATGTGTATTTTTTCCATGCACGCACTGCGCGGGAGGGTCAGGCTGGACGCAGCGCTCCTGCCTGCCTTCACCCAACCTATAATCACACTCAGCTAAAAATGTCTCCAGGACAGGGAACTGCCTCCCTGTGCCACCGTGTGACCCCCAGAGCGGCACTGGTGGAACAAAATCAGGTGAATGAGGCCAATGGCCATAGGCTGGCGATGCTTAGTAAAATATCCACCCCAGGCAGAACTCAACAAACCCACTATTCATATCACCAGCGGACAGCCTGCGTCCAGTAATTTTGTCATGACTTTGCTTTTCAGCAGCTGCCTTGGCTGGTTGGTTCTTTGTGTGGATTTGGTTTTTTTTTTTTTTTTTTTAAATAGTCTGTACTTGTGCCAAGCATGGCGCAGCCGGTGCCAACCCAATCCCAGCAGAAATGCTTCAATCACTGTGGGCAGGCTGCTGGCGCTTTGTACGCCTCTCCTGGCACTGGTGTGCTGACCCAGCGCTCGCGTCCACCTGGAGCCCCAGGTGCTGCTCACGCCCTGGCCTGGGAGGTGGCAGGGGAACTGGTGGCATCTTGTGCCTGGGAGAGGCACGTCCCCCTCTGCCCCATCTCCTAGGAGCTGCTGTTTGATTCAGCTTTAGAGGCTACTGCAGTGCTGCGGCACGTGTCCATCCTGCCCCTTTGGCCCAGGAGGGCAGAGAACAGCGACCTGCGCTCCCCGTCATCCTGGTGTGGGACGGTGACGTGGTACAGGATGGCAGGTTAAAGGCGTGGCTGCCCCAGAGGCGCAAGGGAGGCTCCCCGGCATCACGCCAGCACGGTGCTCTGCTGAGAGGCCAGCCTCTTTCAGTGCCACCACCAATGTTTTAACCATGAAGCTTGAGGAGCGAGCGCACGCGGGCTGGCAGGGTGCTCTGCGCGGCGCTGACAGCCCAGGTACCTCCCCAGGCAGGCAGCGAAGCTGGTTCCTTCACTGGCACAGCGCTGTGGAAGCTCTAAGAGCAGCGACGTGCCACCTGCGCCAAACCAACAGACCAGAGGGTGCCGAGGGCCTGTGCAAATAGGAACCAGATTGAATATACAGATGCCTGTGTTGCATGAAATTGGCTCGGTGTAATGAATTAGTCCTGAAAAATGCAAATACGTATGCACACTGCAAGCCTCCTGTGGTAATGACCTGGTGTCTTATGGGAGGAAAGGAAGATGTTCTTCACACCGTGGTAGCACCACGCACAGCCTTCCCTCTTCACCAGCGCAGGCTCCCATCTTCTCGCCCCGCTGTGTTTCCACCCCCGCAGAGCATCACGTGAGCCAGGCTATAGTTTGTATCTACTTTGGGGTTTTGTTTTGGGTTTTTTTTTTTTTGTGTCAGGTAACAAAATGGCCAACCCTGATCTTGTCACTGGCCAGCTAGAAAGGATAGAGAGAAAACACAAAAAATTATACTAGCGCAACACAAGGTACAGCTGGAAGGAAACAGCCAGCAGTAGCAACAGCCTCTTTGCTATTTACTCCATGGTGCTTGCAGAACGCAGCACCTCCTCCTCAGCTCAAAAATGAATTGATGCTAATAAATCAGGTGAAAACTCACAGTGACTGGTAAGACAAGTACATAGCCTGAAGTCCAACACAGTACGTGGTAGAAATCCTCAGCTGTTGGCCTAAAAGTCCTTGAAGGAGCCCTGGGGGAAGGAAGAGTGCTGCACTAAAATAAAATTAAATAAAAAATGTTCCCCCTGGCTTTTACCCCTTCCCTGCCCAGTGCTGCGACCCAGACGGCCAGGCCCGCCCTACAGTAGCTGTCTGCTTGTTGCAACAGCTGCCGGTTTGAGTGGATCTATCCAGCCACGTTACGATGAACACAAAAAGCAGATACCAAAGCAGAAGAAAGCAGAGCACTGGCCATTTCAACAAGAGAAAAGAACCCAGCAAAGTGATTTAGTTTACAAGATTTTTAATTTACAAATAAAAAACCTACACATTTTACTTTTTCTCCTTTTTCTCCTCTTTCTTGACATCGCTCTTCTCCTTGTCTTTCTCCTTCTCATCTTTTCTCTCCTTTTTACTTTCTTCTTTTTCCTGTCCTTCCTTCTTCTCTGCATCCCTGTTGGCAATCTTGTTGTTAATGAGGTTGTGCAGGGCAACCACGGAACGGATAAGAGAAGCCAGATAAACTACCACCATCTGGTCATTGGTCTTCAGATAAAAGGCCTTGACAAACTCTTGCAGGTTGACGTCTGGTAGCAGGTTGAAGACGTCCTGAAGGTGGTAGATGATCTGGTGATTGATGGGGAGTTTGCCCATGGCTACTTTCTCTAGGTAGCTCCTGATGTCCAGAAGCTTGGAGTTCAGTCCCTTCAAGCCATGGACCTGATTTGTGATCCGCTGGGACAGAGTGCCCACCGTTGTATCCTTGATATCTCTGAAACACCCACACAGAAAGAATCAGCATTGGAACGTTACTTTGCATTCTCATTAACAGGTGGGCATAGTCACTTAAGACATCTTTCCAGCTTAAAAAGAAAAGCAGTTTGAAGCACCGCTGAAGTACAATTGAAATGAATGCTTCAAGTCAAATAATGAGAACAAACTGATGTACGTTACAAAGCATATCTGAAATAGATCATTGTTATATCCTGTGGTGTGCGTATGTTCTCTTTGGAATAATATTTGTAACACCAGTTAGAGGGATAGAGAGAAATAAACAACAGGATTTCTGACTGGTGAAAAGGCGATGTGGTTTCTATAGGGCAACTGCTCTCTTTTTTTGACTGGAGAGCTACAGACCCATCAGCAACACGCCCGTTCGGTCCTGCTCTGCGAGGTACGCAGCGGCTGGAGACAGTTCCAAACGATGCAACATTCTGCAGCTTTCATAGAATGAATATGTAGTTTTCACCATCTCACCAGTGGGCAGTCACACTTTTCACTAGCAATGAGTGAATATGCCAAGCAAGACTGCTAAATGAATACGCTCTTAGAATTTAAGTAGCCTGTTTAACAAGATCCGCATTTCCCCCAGGAAGCTGGCACTGGGAGATGCCAGATGGACCGCGTTCACGGCTATGCAAGTCTCGTAAGAACGCTTTCATTCTAAACATGCTTACCGTAGCAAGTGTTCAACACCAACTTCCTCTGCCTCCTCTGCTCCGATCTCACTAGTCACATGCTCAAACGTCTTGGAGGTCGGAGTGCCATCCTTCGAGGCGCAAGGATACAGGAGACATGGTCAGACTGAGCAGAGAGCTGACTGCAGGCACAAAGCTGCGTGCCAACTAGCCAGTGCGGGTGTCTCACACGCCAACAGTGGGGCAACTCGCACAATGTCACAGCGTGAGATTAATTGACGCCTGTTTGCATGACAGGATCAGGAAGAGGCAATGGGGCAAATTATGGCAAAACAGAGTATCAGGGGACTGAAGCGCACAGCTAAGGGGAGAAGTTTGTAAGCAAGTGAATCACAATGCCTTTTAAAAACATGGAATTTTAGACAAAGTATGAGAAACTGTATTAATGAAACTAGCAGTTATACACAGTCCATGAGAGGAAAGACTCTCGTTGGCTTTTTCTTGATTTAATTAGTGTTACCAACTGTCACAAGCCCAGAGTTGCTAGCAATTTCTTCTTTCTTGCACTCTGTGTAATTTTCAATTAGTGTATTTTGCTGGTCTATGTACTGGTGGGTAGAATGGAAAGTCTCACTAAATATCACAATTCTTTCTTTCTTTCTTTCCTGATACAACCTTATTAGGTTTTGGGATACCTTTTGTCATCCTGATACTTGCTCCCAGCCAGTTAGAAGCACATGCACAGTTCCAGAAGAAAAATACTAATATGGAGCAATCTCATTAAAATTATAATTTATGCACTGGATATTACGGAAGATGTTTTAAAGGTTCACAGGCTGAATTTCTGAGAATGAGTTTCACCCATGTGTTTTCAAAACCATTACCTAGACCAGTATACAGCTGTAAACAGAAAGCACCACTGGGACTATTGTGAATTCACAAAACTAAGAACAAATCCTGCAGATAAAAGACCCACCGTACTGGGAGCAGCTTTTTCTCCGTAGTGAGGGTCTCAGAAAGGCAAAAGGATCACACTTTTTTATATACATCCAGAACGTAATTTAAATCAAACAATTGCAAATGAAAAGCTAAAGCTGACTTACTACCGTATGTTGTTTGTCTGCACGGTGCTGCAAGTGATTAGTAAGTGGTGCTCATGCCTGACCTACCTAGTCAGCACTGGCAGGTGCACAAATGAACAAGCACGCCATTACTCAGAACACCTCTGCAAACAGGCTGACATGTAAAAGTGATATCTTAAAAGTGCTCTAATCTGACTTTATTCATGGCCATGGACATGACAGAAACAGGTAAGCAGCATCTACATCATACGGACAGCTGGAGTCGTGGAATTCCTTACGTCAAACAGTAACGCACAGCTTTTCTTCCAAGAGCATTGGTGGATGAAAACTTTAGTTACAAATGCTTATATTAGACTGGGATTTAACCTCTGGTTTCAGCAGATTTTGGCTGCAAGTCACAGGCCCTTACTAATGAGTGCAACATCCCGTATGTAAAAGGCAACTATGTGCCATGGGATGTGCATCCTTCAGAAAATAAGGCAATCCTAACAGCCATCTTTTAATGGAAACCCTTTTCCCAGGAAAAGGCCGAGAGAGATGTTAAATACTCACATCGTGAACTTCTTCAACTGAAATATAAGCTTCTGTGGGCAGCCCCAAGTCCTTTGGCTTCACATCAATAATCACCAACACCTTATGGAAAAAGCAAACAGTTCAGAAAACCAGGTTTTGTTCAAGGACTAGAAAAAAATACCTAAGTCAGCTCTTCACTCCACAGCAACAGCACGCTAGCTGCTCAGAGGTGTTAACTTCAGGCATTGAGAAAAGACATCTACAGCTGTTTCAAAAGACTTGTTCCGAGTTCCTCCATCATTTTACAGCTCTAGGCTTTCAACATGCTGTATTACCAGTAACAAAGGTGGGGCCAAGGGTTCCCAGATCCCCCATTTAGGAAGAGAGAGGGGGGGGGGGGAAGGAAAAAAAAAAAAGTGCTGCACTTACAGAGTTAGGACAGTATCTTTTCATCAGTTCATTGATGGCGATGTCGTTCTTGTGCAGTTTAGGGCCTGTGTGGTACCAACCAACTATTCTTTCTCTAGCTGAGCAAAACCAGAAAGGATTCTAAATCAGAATCGCGTGGTAAGACAATGGCAGAAAGATTTAGGCAGGGGCTGAATTAGCAAATCAAGGGCGAAAATCTGATGCGTGTAGAAGACGATCAAAAGCAAAAGTAGTACTTTACATCAAAATGTAAAGTAGAGGGAAATGAATCACAGTAGGCAAGACAGCGACATGGCTAGTGACAAAGACAGCTTACTAATCATACCTACTTATTGTAGCTTACTAATCACATATATAACTTTACTCCTAGGTTCTTAACTAAACTGGACTATTTTGTATCATTTATTAATTTTGCAGATACCAGGATGCGACAGCTTGAAACTCTGGCATCCAAGAATGCAAAAATTCTAGAAATACAAACTGTATCATAAGAATGACAATCGTTCCCAGCGCTAAGAAAATTCATAGGAATTTAAGTTACGACTGAACATTCAGCTCTAAAGTCTCAAACTGAGCAGAGAAAACACTTTTTAGAACGGTGGCAAAGAGCAATTAGAATCATTACTTAAAAGTTTGTAATGTTCACATTCATAAAAAAGTAATTTCAGGGCACATCTGTATAAAACAGGTTATAGAGGGGAAAGCTTTGAAATTCTTCAGAAATAATGGCATTTTTGAAATCTGAATTATTCTGAAGATACAAAGCTGTTGGGAGACTTGGGAAAATTAACAAGGGATAAATTAATGTGTTAAGAACACAAACTACTTGCACAAATTAACCCATGGAAACCATCAGTGAAAGTGAAGCCACACAAGGAATTAGCATGGAGTGGCTTCTTAAGTAAGCAATTAATTTTCTACCTTACTGTGAATTCACTTTCCCATACAGAGTCTTGGAAGTTTCTAGGAGAGTAACCCTGGCTGCAAGAAGACCTCAACTTACCGTTGACCTTCTTAAACATTCCATACATGTTCTCCAGATAGTCATGGTCTAGAAACCACACAGTATCGTCCTTGTCATCCTCATCAAAAGGTACTGGGAATAAAAGAAAATCCCAATATTTAAAATTCCAACTTCCAGACTGAAAATGTTTATAGAAACACTGTGTTTTAGGTTATCTTTGGCTGCTAAAGGAGAGTTTAATCAGTTTCAACCATTCTGCAACACTATGCTGCACAAGCCAACCTGCAGTGCTGGTCAGTTCTCTCAGGTAGAGGCTGTCTCATAATTACTAACAGTTTAGAACTGAGGAATGAAATGCAAAGCATTCTGAGTGTGATCCTCAGTGGACAACATCAAGCACCAGAGAGAAATCCTCCCACACACAGAAGCGACTCAACAGTGTGCACAAACTGAGTATCCCAGCAGACTTTATAGCTTGTTGACCAACAGCAGTCTTAGAGAAATATCAGTTTTCAGTGTAGAACACGTCATCAGCACTTTTAGAGACTACTAGAACAAAATGAGGCACTTAAAGTAAGGACTGTTTACCCTTGAGTAAATGACTAGTAATGTTATCAGTTAGCATGTATACAGGAACACAAGCTCAGTTCTGAGAACAAAGACTGGTCTCAGTCTTTTAATTTATAGGTATAGTAAAAGCTTCATAGTTGAAAGGCTGTCAAAACAACAAAAAACCACCTCTTTTCAACTCAAATGGAAAAAAGTTCCTCCAAAAATTGGGAAAAAGAAAAGTCCACACTTGGGAAAAGAACTCCATATAAACTGTGAAGCTCCACATACAAGCTGAGATAATTTTGCTTTGTCACAGAGTAGCCCCACTGGGAAGGAAATGATCTAACTAACACAAATGGGTCAGCAAAAGCCACGCATTCAAGAAGTACTTTTACTATCACGTATCAGTATTTAAGAGGAAACTCTTTCAACACTATTAACAAAATACTTAAGGAAAGAACTAGTATTAAATTGGACAAAATCTGAGGAAAAGAAGTAAAGCTAAGATACACACTAAATCTTTACACAGGTAGGTAACAGCTACACCAGCACCGAGAGCTGTGATTTCTGTATGACATGTTGAGACACCGATCACTCAGCAGAGGTCAGCGAGTCCAATGCAGCAAAATATTCACCAGCATTTTAAAAGAGGTTTACATCCGCTCCCGAAACATTCCACATTGCACAATATTACAGGGAAGATGCAGCACAAGGCTGGCTGGAATAGGTGTATTTTTGACAGCAGTTAACACTTTCTGTTTGATATATGCTGATTTGTACATGGAGAGAAGAATCTGTGGTCTGGGAGGGTGGTTTAAAAAAAAAAAACAAATGCAATTCATCCATTAAATAATTCAGTAGGTTTGAACAAGGGTAGGACACCCAAACTCACCTGCAAAACTGTTGGACACATCTAATATCTTTTTCTGCCACGAGCCAAGCAGCACACCAACGACTCGTTTCTGATTTCCAACTTTTCCTATTCTAAATGGAAAAGACTGTCAGTTCCTACGACAAAAAGCCTGATTCAGGAAAGAAGGTAACAGCAGACAAGTTGTTTCATCTAATTTCTGCAAGTTAAACAGTTTGTGTGTCGGAACAGAAGGAAAGGCGTTAAGATTGTTTATTTACATCTAAAAAAAGGTGTTTCGGTGCCCTCAGAAGCAGACCTTGTAACCCAGCGATGCAGAAAGAGGACTACGTGGTCCGATGCAGCTAACGAGGGGGAACACGACCCAAAATAAGCACCGCGGCAGCCTCTCCGCAGGACAATGGGCTATAAAAAAGTGAGTAAGCTCTTAAACTGCTCGGTGTCATCCACGATTTGCTTTCACAATAGCAGGCTTGTTTGCCTCGCGAGATTTTTTTTTTTTAACATTAAAACTGCTTGTCAACTGGCGCAATTAAGTTAAATTAGGCACAAATTACACTAGGCGTTTAGAGGGACATGATTTATCCCCCGCTCAGCCAGCTGCAGCTTTAGGAACAAACCCCGCTTCTCCCCCACTCGCGTTTTAACGATCAGGCCGTTGTTTCCGAGCCCCCGGCGGGCCCGAGGAAGGGCGCTGACAGCCCCCTCACGGCACCCGAGCGCTCCCCGCCCTCGGACTTTTCTCCTCCCGAAGAGGAAAACAACAGCGGCGGCGGCCCGGGGGCTCCGGCGGCTCCCGCAGGCCGCGCTCCC